ACTTTGTTTCAAATAAGGTGGAAGGCTGATACCCAAATTGGTCTCTTCACCTGCTCTGTGGCACAATGGGTATATGTACTTGCTTCGTTGCTCTCTCATGTCCCTCCCCCTCTAGTGTCTCTCTCTTACACACACACACACACAACATAGGTTCACAAAAGATGGGGAAAAAACATAATGGATCAATGATATTCAACATTGACGCAGATTTTTAATAAAAGCAGTGGTAAATACTCATATAGCCTAAAGAATTTGTAGAGTGAAGGGGGAATTTCTGCTTCTAAGTAAGTCACAGCAGTCCATTTCTCTCATTGCAACAATAAAAATGGAAGAGAGGAGCTAGACATGCTGAGAGGCAGGATTATGTGACTGATACTCAGCAGAAAACAGCAGAAGTGGTACTGTGAATTTCCCTTTCAGTAGAATTTGTCAGTAAGAACTTGAACATGGCCTTAGACCATCTTAACAGACAAGAGAAAAAGAGAAGACGTAAAATACTGACACTAGAAAATCTGAATCAAATCCAATTGACATTTTAACACTCAAGTAGAGTATTTGAAATGATCTCATTTGATGGGTTTAAGTATTAGAAGACTAGATACAGAAGGAGAGAATCGGTAAATCTGGAAATAGATCAACAGAAAGACTCCAGATAAAATTCATAGAGAGTCCAACCAAAATATAGAATAGTGAATGTTCTTGTGTGTGAGATGCACACACAAGCTCTAATACGTGTGTATTTTCCATCCCAGACAAGAACAGGGAGAGAAAGTAGAAATGGTTTAAAGTGTGCTAATCGGAAAGTTGATGAGTGTTAGGTCTCAGAACATTGACAGATGGCTGACTGAGGTGCCTGTTTGACACATCAGAGTGGACGCTGGCTCCCAGGTTCTCCAGCATCCCCAGCCTCATAAGTGCAGAGTCCTTCTGACTGGCGTGCCCTGCCATCTACCCAACACCCCTCCGGCCCTTGAGCTGCCCTTTCTCCAGCATCTCAGCCGCATAAGTACAGAGTCCTTCTGGCTGGCACACCCTGCCATCTACCCAACACCCCTCCGGCCCTTGAGCTGCCCTTTCTCCAGCGTCTCTTCCCATGTAACTCGCCATTTTGGCTCCCTGGCCTCTTGACTCCTGGTCCCCTCTCCTGTCCTCTCTCCTTCTTCCTCTCCTGCTCTTCCTGTGCATCCCCACACCCAACATGGCCTGGTTCAGTCTGATGACCTGGTTCATTCTGGACCCTTCTACATGCCTCTGGCTGTTCTCTCCCTCATATCTGCAATAAACCTCCGCAACAATACCTTGGAGCAGTCATGTCCTCATTTTCGTTCAGTGAGTAATATAAACTGACAGATTCAAGAAGCTAGGTGAGAAATAAAAAGAAAACATCTAAATCTTGAAATTTAAATACAAAGTAAAATTTATAAAGATGAGAGAAGAAAGACAATTAGGAAAACATGGGTAATAATAAAATAAGAATTCTGAAATTCCTAATGAGGAATTGAGATCTTTTTTTCTGATAACAAAAGGAAACACCAACAACTTTGCGTTCCTTTCCAGCAAAAACAACCTTCAAATACTAAATAAGATACTTTTTTTCCAGGCAAAGAAAATGAATCTTTATTCTACAAAAAAATACAAGAGAAAGTCCTTCTGACAGAATGACAAAGGAAAGGGACCGTTTGTGGATAAACTTTTAAGATGAAGTACTGCTGTATAACATACATACTGCACATGTGTACGTGTGCATATAATAGCTTCAAAAGAGGAAGGACTTAGGTGTACTGGCCACACCTAGAAAAGCAGTACACCCGGAAAAGCAGAGTCAAAATCATCTTTAGGAAAATCCTCAAATTGTTAGAAGTTAAATGCTATCTCTTAGTTAGGATTTCTATTGCTGTGATAAAACACTGACCAAAAGTAATGGGGAGGAAAGGGTTTATCTCATCTTACACTTCAAACAACAGTCCATCACTGAAGGAAGTTAGGACGGGGACTTGGAGGCAGGAATTGAAGCAGAAGCCATGGAAGACTGCTACTTACTGGCTTGTTGCTCCTGCTTGCTTAGCCTGCTTTCTTACTGCAGTACCACTTGCCCAGTGGTAGCGCCTCCCCAAGTGGGCTGGCCCCACCACGTCAATCCATCAAGGAAATACCTCACATGCTTGCCTCCAGGCCAGCCTCATGGAGGCATTTTCTCAGTGAGATGCCTTCCTCCCAGATGACTCTAGCTTGTGTCATGTTGACAATAGACTAATAAGGTTGGCTGTTAAAGAACCACGAGTGAAGGGGGAAATCACAAACAAAATATTTTGAACTGAGTGAAGAAATGCAAATGATGACAAACTTAAATTGTGCTACAAAGCAAAACTTAAAGCAAATACCTGTGTTAGAAAATAGCAATACCAAGTGAGCAAATATAACCAAGATGTACAGAAAGAAGTGGGCAGTAAAAATGTGGCATAAAAAGATAGACAAAAATGTCCCAACTTAGGATAATATATTAGTAAAGTCGATAGACCTCCAACTACAGAAAAATTACTCAAGGATTTAAAAAAAAGAGGACACCACAGCAAATCCACAGACATTGTTGCAAGGATAAAAAGAAATGTATGACCTGAAGCTGGAGAGATGGCTCAACAGTTAGGAGCAGTGTCTGCTCTTCTAGAGGATCCAGGTTTGAGTCCCAACACATAGATCATGGCTTCCAACATTCTGTAACTCCAGTTCCAGGGCATCCAGTGCCTTCTTCTGGCTTCCTGGGGCATGAGGCATGCATGTGGTACACAGACATATATGTAGACAAAATACCCACACATATAAAGTAAACATTTATCTTTTTTTTTATTTTATTTTTTTATTTTTTGGTTTTTCAAGATGGTTTCTCTGTGTAGCCCTGGCTGTCCTGAACTCACTCT